GGCCCAAACCACCTGCAGAAGTGGCTGCGGGGTCCTGGTGGGGAGGGCTCAGACCCTCGTGGGGCCGGCAGCCACCTGGCACGGGGGGGTGGGGGGTTCCAGAAACCCTGCGGTGACATTTGCCACCTGAAAGAGGAACCGTGTTGAGGAGAGGAAGGGAGTGGGAGGAAGCCGAGACGGTGGCCGGGGGCGGCAGCTTTTGCAGGTGGCAGGAAGAGGCTTTTGGGAGAAAGTAAAAGTGAGATGAGGAAGAAAAGGGCCAAACCTGTCTGGCAGAGCTGGGGGGTCCGGGCAGCACCGGGCACCCCGAGCACCCCAGGATCCCCATCATGATGTTCCTGTTGTCCCCTGGGCCGGGGTCCCCGGGGTGACAGCAGGAGCGGGGAGGTGACAGACGGTGTTTCTGCCCCCCCGGTCAGGGGCCCGTGGGCAGCCCCAGGGCTGGTCCCCACCCCAGTCCCCACCCCAGGTCCCCAGGGCTCTTCAGGGTGTTGGGTCCCTACCCCTGGTGCCACACGCAGACCCACAGCAGGTCCCCAGACCCCGTCCCCACACGTGGTCCTCACAGCCAGCCCCCTGCCTGGTCCCTGTCCCTGTCCCCACGCCCGGTGGGGACCCATCGCCGGTCCCCCCCAGCCTGGGCTCTGCAGGCAGCATCCCCGGGAGCTCACCGGGGGGGACAACACCCATCACCACAGCGTCCCCATCCCGCCGAGGTCATAGTGCGGCACAAAGCTGGTCCCAGTCCACAGCCGGGGCTGGACCAGGTCACCTGTCCCTGGATCCGGCCCCAACCCTGCACGCGACATCCCGAGGGAGAGGCGGGAGGGTGCCTGCGGATGATGCTCCTGCATCGCCCCAGAAAGCTCCTTCCCGGCAGAGGCTCCGCAGCCCCAGCACGTTAACGAGCAACACCGCTAATGAGCCGCACGGCACGCAGGACCCCGGCAGCGCCCAACTCCAGCATGCGGCAGCCGTTCGGCTTATCTCCTTTTACTCACGATACAACCGTCTTCTTGGTGCCGGCACAACCAGTGCTGTGCCCCAGCGCGGCTAAAGCAAACCCCCAAGTACTCCCTACAAAACTAGAGCTTTTCTGTTCAGTTTTGTTTAAATCTGCAGCATTAAAAAAAAAAAATTAATAATAATGGGAAGGGGTGTGGGGAAAGGAGGTGTCCAACCAGGGAGGGGGCTGTGTGGCCCGGTGGCACAGTGGCCAGATCCTCAGCCTGGGCCGGGGCCTTGGCAAGGCAGAGGGGGGGGGGTGGCTGCTGGGGGGCTGCCCCATGGCAGTGTCCTGCCAGCACCCTGGCTTGCTCCCCTGCCACCGATGGTGCTGGCTCATCAGGGGGAAGATGCAGCCCTGCACCACCTCTGGTCCTGCCGAGCATCCCACCGTCACCCCCTCGCCCACCCCAGGTCCAAGCCGGCACCAGGGGCTGACGGGGCCGGAGGGGAGCGTTCATCAAATGGGCTGCCAGGTCTTGTCAATGGTCTGAATGTGCTCCTTGGCTTTCATGCGGAGCGAGGCGATGCTGGAGCTCCTCTGGTCCACCTCCTCCAGCGGGTACTTGTCCACAAAGGTGGTGCTGCACTGGTAGGGCGCGGGGGCCATGGGCTGCATGCCCTGTGCCATCGGCGGGGGGGTATTGAGGAAGGAGTGGCCGCCGTAGGGCGGCTGCAGGGCCTGGGGGGCCCCCATGAAGCCGGGGATGCTGTGGACTGTGGTGGCGCTGGAGATGGGCGACGTCAGCCACGGGTCGAGCGGGAGGGAGTTGCTCATGGGCCCCACGTTGGGGGTCATGGGGGGCCGGTTGAAGGAGAGCACGGGGGTGTCATGGAGCTTCATGGAGCTGGCCTCCATCTTCTCCTGCCGCCTCCACTTGGCTCGGCGGTTCTGGAACCAGACCTGTGAGGTGAGAGGCAGAGTGAGCCCCACCATGCCCAGCTGGTCCCTCACAGCGTGCCCCACGTGCTGGGCTCCGTGCAGGGTGCCCCACTGTGCTGTATCCCGTGGGGGGTGCCCCACACGGAGTCCTCCAGGTGGGGTGTCTATGGGGTATCCCATCCTGTGTGGGGTGCCCCTGGGTGTTGGGTCCCGCGCAGGGTGTCCCACAGGTCACCAGCAATCCCCAGCACTCCGAGCGGCTCCGTCAAACCTCCCGCACAAACCTCAGGGACTGGGGGCACCTCTGAGGTGTGGAGGGTGAGAGGTGCCACCGTGCCCCCCCCGCCCTCACTGCTCCATCGCAATGTGCACCCCAGCTCTGCAAACAGCCACACAGTCCTCGGTATAAAGTTATCTGGCCTTCCAAAGACCCTTGTTAAAAGCTTTTAGAAGCCAGACTGCCACGGTTGTGCAAAAACGCACAAGAGGGACGGGCAAGCCGAGGCCCACGGAGGCTGCTGGTCCCCGTGTCCCCAGAGCCCCCGGCAGCACGGGGCACGGGCTGTCTGCTGCCTGGTGCCAAGGGGGAGTACAGACGAATGGCTGGGCTGCAAAGGGGGTGTCTCCAGGGGCTGGTGGCAGCTGTTGGTGGACACTGGGCTGTACTGGTGCAAAATCGGTGTCCAAAGAAGAGCAGAGAAGCTGGTGAAGGGTCTAGAGAACACGTGCTGTGAGGAGCAGCTGAAGAAACTGGGCTTGTTTAGTCTGGAGAAATGGAGACTCAGGGGAGACCTTGTTGCTCTCTGCAACCACCTGGAAGGAGGGTGTAGTGAGGTGGGGGTCGGTCTCTTTTCCCAAGTCACAAGTGATGGGACAAGAGGAAACGACCTCAAGTTAGGCCGGGGGAGGTTTGGATTGGATACTGGGAAAAATTTCTTCACGGAAAAGGTTGTCAAGGACTGGAAGAGGCTGCCCAGGGAAGTGGTTGAGTCGCCATCCCCGGGGGTGTTCAAAAGACGTGTGGATGTGGCAGTGAGGGACAGGGTTTAGGGGTGGCAGTGTTGGCTTGATGGTTGGACTCGATGATCTTAACAATCTTTTCCAACCTCAGTGATTCCATGACTCCATGAAACTGGTCGTTGCTCAGAGCTCAGCAGAGGCGTCCCTACGGTCTGGACCCTCCCTGAAAAAGGCTGAGTTGTCTTGGGCTGGGGCTGAGGCCTGGAAATCTTGGGTCATTTGTAAGGGGATTACTGCTTTGTTTCGCAGTGGGTTGGTCGATTCTCTGACTCCCTGACCCTTTCCCTCCCCCCAGTCTCACCCCATCAGTCCCAGGGGCAGTGGGGACCAGTGGGACCCCACGCTCCTCCCCAGGCTGTGCCTTCTCCCTGCAGGACCTTCTTTGGCAGTCCCAGGAGTGAAACCTCCCCATCCCTACCCGCCCCCCCCTCCAACTGCCTCTCTCTGACAAGCCTAAAACCCCCAAATCTGTGAGGATCATGCGCTTTCCCAGCCCTAAAGTCCTGGGAGCGGTCAGGAGCGGCTGAGGTTTAGCTGCTTTCCCATGGGATCAGCTGGAGGGGTGGGAGCAGCCACCAACATCAGGGAAAAAAGACTCTAAAAACCATCTCCCTGCCCAAACAGAGGCTCTGGCACGTGGGCTGAACTGGGACCTTGTGGGGGAACGAGGTGCAGCCATTAAATCCCTTCTAGAGTTTTGGCAGGAGCAGCCGGCTCTGCAGAGATGATGCCAGTGGGAAAACTGAGGCACGGAGCGAGGCGGCAGCGGTGGGGCCGGGAGCAGAGGAAAGCTCCTCCGGCACCAGGGTGGTCCCTCTGCCACCGCCCAGGGGACAGGTTCGGGGTGCTGGGGCCCCCAGGAGTCCTCCCTACCTGCACGCGGACCTCCGGCAGGTTGACCTTCATGGCCAGCTCCTCGCGGCTGTAGACGTCGGGGTAGTGGGACTTCTCGAAGGCGCGCTCCAGCTCGTGCAGCTGGTAGGTGGTGAAGGTGGTGCGGTTCCTCCGGTGCTTCTTCTTGGGCTGCTCCTCCTCAGCGGTGGCTGGCGGGGTGCCCTCGCCGTCCCCCGGCTTCCGCAGCTCGCCCAGGTCCCCCTCACACTTATTCAGGAACATGGTGGCGCCTGCGAGGGGGCCGCAGGGGTCAGTCGGGGCGTGGGGACGTTGGACCCCCCCATGCACCCCCAGGCTGGGGACGGACACACAAGGGGACGAAGGGATGGGAGGATGGGGCGGCCCCAGAAACGGGTTACACGGAGGTGTGATCCTCTCTTCTGCTGCAGCGTTATCCCAGGGCTGGGGGTCCCAGGGGCGGACGCGGGGTTCCTGGGACTGGTGTGGGGTCCCGGGGACTGACACGGGGGCTCCACTGTGAGATGCGACCAGGCCAACACCCCCACCCAAAGCTAAAAGTCAAATTTCACCGAAAGTGGAAGATTTTATGAAAGCGCCGTCCCTGAGAGCTAACTTGACCCCCCCCGCCCCGGTGTGGAGGGGACCAAGCCCAGGCCGGCTCCTTCCTTCCAGCCCCGCTTGCCCGTGGGCTACCGAGTACCCACGGGAGAAGCCAAGCGCAGCCAGAGCAGCCCGATGCGGTCCCCTGGCTAATAGCCTTTCTCTGCACACTTATAAGCATTTTCAACCCTTGCAATGTTTCATCTTTAAGCTTTTTATCCGGCGTCTGAAATCTTCCTGCAGTATTTGCTGGGGATTAAGGGTTCCTCTCTGCTGCGAGGCCGTAGGCAAACGTGGAATGGGACAGAAAGCTGTGAGCCTGCGGCACTTCCACCGCAGGGCAGGTGCTGCAGCGCCCAGACCCCCCAGCAAAGGCTTGGCCAACGCCGGAGTGGGTGCGGGGAGGGAAAGGGACTGTCAGTTAATTCTGGGAGGGAATAAATGGGGGTCCCGAGCGGGCAGCGTGCAAGGGGTGGGTGTCGGGTGTTGCTCAGGGTGTGCACGTGTGGGGTGTCGGGGCCCGGTGTGCGCAGTGAGAGCCTGTGTGGGCAGCGTGGGCGCAGGCGGTGTGTGTCTGGGTGCGTGCAGGGATACACACGGCGCGCAGCCCCCCGCCGCGGGCAGGTCCGGGGTGCTCAGGGGCACCCAGGGGGGTGCGGGAGCGCGTGTGTGCAGGGGGCTGAGCGTGGAGCGGGATGTGTGTGTGCGTGTGCAGGGCGGCGTGTGCCGCGGGCCCACCGCAGGCAGGGTGCAGCGTCCGCGTGCGGCGGGTGCAGCACACAGAGAGCGACACCCACACCCGCGTG